CCACTGTTTCTTTGGTTTTAGCAGCGAAATGACCTTTCGGTTGAGCAGATTTTGCAGAAAATAGTCAAACCATTCAGATTATTTCAGGGTCAATTATTTTTGTATTAGGGCAGAGCTGTCCAATATGCGGCCCGCAGGCTGATTTTAAATGGCCCACCGGAACTCAGTGGTCTATGGTGTCCAAAAGGTTGGTCAGCACCGTATTAAGGCTTTGTAAAAATACACTATTTCTGCATGTAGCATGAAATATACCAGTCTGTACATATTCTTTGCTTTTCGTGTTTTTTCGCACAGTGATCTATTTTAGGTTCGTGTACTTAAATTACATTATAGTATTGATAATTTCGACATGACATCATCCCTGGCATTCAATCAAACACTCTTTGCCATAGTCGCTATAAGTATGAACATATTTTTTTTTAATTAAAAAAAAAAAAAGACACCGGAACAAGTTTGGTTCGAGTCGCTCATTGACTCAGTTTTTTTCTTCCTCTTACATATTTGAAAGCAAAGAAACACTTTCTAGACTGCAATTTTTTTTAAAAACAAAAATATTTATAACCAATAACATGTTGAAATGCATTTCAAACATTTTCTTGTTCGTGTTGATAAATTCTATGACGACGAAAATAGACATTTGTAAGGCAATATTTTACTTATATTTAATTTAATCATTTGCCTGTTAGTTTTAATTTTTTAAATTCCATTATATGATATGATAATGTAACTTTGTTTACTAGATTTATATTGTCAAGAATTTGAGTTCCGTTCTGTTTGACCGGTTATTTCATTGAGGAGCAACTAATAATAGAAACATTGTATATAGTATAGTTTTTGACCTTGTTTCGAAATCAGTGACAGTTTTAGTGAACAGCATTTTTTTCCTTCTCTTTCTCAGAGCAGACCGCTCCGGTGGCCTAGTGGTTAGAGCGTCCCCCTCGGATGCGAGAGGTCGAGAGTTCAAAACCCAGCCGAGTCATACTAAAGTCTTTAAAAAAATGGTACGTACAGCTGCCTCGCTTGGCCCTCAGCATTAAGAGGTTAATGTTAAGACTGGTTTGCCTGGTGTCAGGATAATGTGACTGGGTGGGGACATCATGCCACGTGTCTGTGGATTGATGCCCCAGTGCTAGACATCACCATAAATTGACACACTGCAAACATCGTAGCGATATGACTGAAAAATTGTTAATGCTACATTAAAAATCATAATCACACACTCACACACTATTTCTCAGAGTAATTACCAGTAAAATAAGTTCATACTTGAAATGCGTGACAAGTAAACATACATCAATTGATAATCATTTTTTTTTACCAGAAGAATGAACTTTTTACCCTCATCTGGGAATCTGTTTTGAGTTTTTATTAGCTTATAACTTTGGGTTTTTGTCTCCAAACACGTTAAGCTGCTATTATGTTGTGACTAGTCTGGATTGAAATTTTATTTTCTTCAAATTAAAGTGATTCTTTTCCCTGGGCATATATATATATATATATATATATATATATATATATATATATATATATATATATATATATATATATATATATATATATATATATATGGCATGGTTATAGAAAATAGAATCTATCATTGGGTACAACAATATTTAAACAAAATCACATAGCTAGTTTCAACTTGAATTAAACTATACCTTTAATAACAACATAAACAAAAATGGTATTTGAATGGATGATAAATAATTTGTGGAACTACCAGAAGAATATTGTTAAGTAGAAAAGAAGACAACGTGAGTAAAACTTGAAAAGAAGGATGAATGATGATGTTGATACTGTAAAAGCTTTAAATGCGGTTCACCGTTTGAGTGTTCTAATGACACGCGAATTATGGACAAATTATAAAAGTTAATGAAATAAATATTAGCCATGAAACAAACATATACCCATTTACATTATTGCAATAAGTGTATTAATTGGTTTATCATTAAACCATAGTGGTGTATTAATTAGTTATCTTTACGCCGTATTGGTGTCTTAATTGGTTTATCGATATAACATACGTGTCTTAATTGGTTTATCGTTATTAATTGATCTGTTGTTGCTCGATAGTGGTGTATTAGTTCGTTTATCGTTATACCATAGATGTGTTTTAATTTATTTTTATATTGCTATTGAAATTCCAACGGTTTAATTAAAATTAGTGTCGAGGTAATTATGACCGATCTAATCAGACAAAAAGCTGAAAGTTCTGAAAGCACAGCCATGTTATTCAAGTGTTCATCAATAGTTTCTTTTTCTTTTGAGTTGATGGGCTTTGTTATATCTTGCTTGACGTTTTGTTTATAAATCTAATAACAGATAAAACTCCACTAATGCTAAAAATAAGTAAAATAACATGCTCAGGAAAGAGAGATACATCCCATTTATCTGTTTTATAAGCAATCTTTTTAAACTGTAAATAATTTTAGCTAATTGTGCTATTGTTTTGGCTAACTCATACAAATACGTGCCAATATATATTATATTTGAATTTTGTCGATGGACGAATCTTCATTCCTTCCTATTGAACACTGCCGCCAATTGACCATCTCAACCAACTATAAAATCTTGTATAAAATTTGGTTTAAATAATGAATACCCGTTGGCTATATCAGCTGTTGTCGTATCCTTTTTAAAACAGATTTTCCAAGCTCTCACCTAATGGTAGTTTTTTTTTCGGTAATATTTTAAGAATATCTCCAAATCTCTTACGTGTCCAACTAACTGCGTTTTAAAATTTCAACACTTGCAGTCTGCTGATGCAATACGGCTGTTTTATGTTTTGGGCTGTCTGTGCTGATTTTAAAACGGTTTTGCGAGTATTTTAACTTAAGATTTCATAGGTTTATTTTCAGTTCCACGACTTCCACAACATTTAGTAATCATTCTCTTTCCTCTGTATTATGAATAATCATTGTTTCCCCTTCTTCTATTTTTCTTTTAATTTCTGCTTCTCATACTTGTTAATCAGATATCTCATTTATATAAATCATTTTTATCTCTATTCCTACAGGCACTTATATTGGTTCTTCTTGTTCAGGAGAGTGTTCAAGCATATAACAAGGATTGGTAGCCTCAACAGGACGCATCCACTTGTTTTTTTTTATTTTTTATTTATAACCACCTTAGTGTGGTCACCAATCTCGTACAGCTTGGCGTGCTGGTGGCTGAAGATATTTATTTGATGTTGCGTGTCTTCGAAATTCAAACTTCCTTTTTATAACCATCAAAATCAGCTATTACATAAGATAGTGTTTTGTTTTCAACTTGTTTCGTTATTTTTTTTATAGATTTATTGCTCTTCATCGATATTACTAGTAAGTCTATTTTCAACTGTGACCGTTCATGTGCCCTAGGGTATGTATGTATGTATGTATGTATGTATGTATGTATGTATGTATGTATGTATGTATATATGTATGTATGTATGTATGTATGTATGTATGTATGTATGTATGTATGTATGTATGTATGTATGTATGTATGTATGTATGTATATATGTATGTATGTATGTATGTATGTATGTATGTATGTATGTATGTATGTATGTATGTATGTATGTATGTATGAAAAGGGACATAACTTTTATAGAATTCTTTCACTTGCCTCAGAATTTCGTCAAAGTCGTAACTAAACGTCACGAATACTCTACATCGATATTTTGTTTATATACTAGTATCATGTAATAAATAAAGATAGAGAAAAAGAGCAAACAGAAAAGTTATGGGGTATTGGGAGGGGGGTAGAAATGGGGCATAATTGTTGGCCGAAACTAGGTACTAAGTCATTTACTATTGTGTTGTATACATTTCGTAAAATTTATATTAACTCTGATGAAAATGTCATAGTTCTTATCCCGAAACGCAGTTATCTCAGTTTTCTGTGTTAATGCAGAAAGAAATGGCTACATTTTAAAGCTAATTGGTTACAATCTCTTCAGTAGCAATATGAAAATAAATTAAAACACTAATATAGTATAACGATAAACGAACAAATCAACTAATAACGATAAACCAATTAAAACACAAGTATGTTACAACGATAAACCAATTAAGACACCAAGATGGCATAAAGATAACTAATACACCACTATGATTTAACGATAAACCAATTAATACACCACTGTGGTACGACGATAAACCAATTAAGACGCCAATCTGGCATAAAGATAACTAATTAATACACCACTATGGTTTATCGATAAACCAATTAATACACCACCGTGGTGCGACGATAAACCAATTAAGACACCACTATAGTATAACAACAGTGCATGGTAAGCTTTGGTGTGTTTCAGACCTATCCGATGGCGAAGCGGCTAGTGCATCCGCCTCGGATTCGGGAGTTCGCGGTTTCGAACCCTGGCAGAGTCACACCAAGGACATAAAATGGTCTTAACAGCTGCCTTGCTAGGCACTCAGCATTAAGCGGTTAGTGTATGGGCAGGTCGGCCTGGTGTCACAATAATGTGACTAGGTGGGACATCATGCTACATGTCTGCAGCACGATGCTCCGGTGATAGACATCACTATAAACTGACACACTGCAGACATTGTAGCGATATGACTAAAATTTTTGTTACAGCTAAATAAAAGATCGAAATCACAAATACACACAAACACTCATACAGGTTGACAGCGGAATTTATTTTCAGCTGCAAACTATCATCGGTGTCTGTCAGTGCCCATACTTGTTCGCTGCTACAGAATAGCTCTGAATTCGTAATATCTGTGTTTCTTCATTGTTTTGCTTATTTCTTGTTGTTTTTGTTTCCGTTGTTGTCTTCTTTTCTTTTCTTGTTTGTTTGTTTGTTTTTTTATTTTTTTTTATTTTGTTTGTTGTGTAATTGCACACTTCGTTTAAACGAGATCTATTAAATACCGTGTTAGACACCCCACAAGCTCTCTCGTCCCGAATCACCTGGTAAAGACTGGTTCTGTCACTTGTTCTTCGAACTCCTTTTTTTGTCTTATTTCTCTTATATTTCTTTCGAAACGCTCCTGTGGTCCAGTGGTTAGAGCGTCCGCCTAGGATGCGGGAGGTCGTGGGCTCAAACCCCGGCCGAGTCATACCAAAGACTTTAAAAAATGGTACTAACAGCTGCCTCGCTTGACGCTCAGAGTTAAGAGGTTAGTGTTAGGACTGGTTGACCTGGTGTCAGGATAATATGACTGGTAGGATATCATGCCACTTGCTTGCGACATGATGCCCCAGTGCTAGATATCACTATATACTGTCACACTGCAGACATCGTAGTGATATGACTAAAAAATGTTAAAGCTACGTTAAAACTCTAAATCACACACACACACACTTATATTCATTTCTTCGGGTACTTTTATTTGGCTATTTCTTGCAAGCCTATTTCATTGGTACTGTTATTTATTTGTTTCTGTTTCTTGCATGCCTATTTCCTTTGTACTTTTGTTTTATCTATCTTTCTCGTACGTCTATTTTCTTTTGTACTTTAATTTATCTATATTGTCTATACGTTAAAAATCTAAATCACACGCACACACACACACACACACACTTATATTCATTTCTTCGGGTACTTTTATATGGCTATTTCTTGCAAGCCTATTTCATTGGTACTGTTATTTATTTGTTTCTGTTTCTTGCATGCCTATTTCCTTTGTACTTTTGTTTTGTCTATCTTTCTCGTACATCTATTTTCTTTTGTGCTTTAATTTGTCTCTATTGTTGGTGTGTTTTTTCTTTGGTATTTTATTTGTCTTTATTGCTCGCGTGTCTATTTCCTCGTCAAATATAATGTGTTGTCTTTGTATTCAAAAATGGGTTGAAGAAGACATGTAGATTACATCTCGTTTCTAACAGGTAAATATATTGATGGTATTCTTTTGTATAGACTATTTAAATAAAATATTAATTGTCAGTCCATAAAGCAAATACGTTTGTATGCCACCTTCCATTAGATTGGAACAGTTGTACCGTCTGAATTATCATAATAGAGTGTTATTGCATATTTTAATGGTTCACCAGAAGGCATAGTTCATGCAGGACAAAACTTCTGTGTGTGTGTGTGTGTGTGTGTGTGTGTGTGTGTCCTTGTACCTGATGCCCCAGTGCTAGACACCACTATAAACTGCCACACTGTAGATATCGTAGCAATATGACTGAAAATTTTTTAAAGCTACGTTAAAAATCATAATCACATCACATCACTGTACAAGTCGAGATCTAGGGATGAACGTTTCAAAATTCGAATTGGTATGATGCTAAATACTTTGCTCTGAAAAGCACGTGTAAAAGACTTACTTTATCGTCAGGATCATCAGCTTGTTTATACTGTGTATCTACTATATCATCACGGTCATGTTAAAGCTGTCCAAAATAAACAGACACAAGAAAAAGAATAAATATTTATTAAAGACATTTATTAAAGACTTAAACAACAATTATTTGACTCCAACAGAAAATTAGTAAAAAACATTAATTGAATAGAGACATTACAAATGAAACATACAAAGAATTTATCGGACAAAAAACGATTGCAGCGAGTGACACAAAATGGAGAGAGAACACGTGCAGATAACAAACTTAAAGTTTTGTTAATGCTTCATCTGCTAACATTTTTAAAAATCAGTGACAGATGCAATTTATACAATGACATCATACATTATCAACATAATATAATTGTAAACTTTGACACTTTACAAATTAAGTAAATGATGATTACATGACATTAGGTGAAATTAGATACTTCACTGAATGTGTTTCATTCAAACAGGGATCACATTTATCTGAAGTGTCTGCTAGTTAACAACTTTTATGCACATTAGTTTTAGAAAGTAAAAAAAAAACTGAAAAAAAAAAATAAAAAAAGCTAAAGACTTTGCAATGTGAAACATTAGGGTGAAAAATATGTACTGGTTAATATGTTGTAATGAATTTCTGCCTTCAATCCCAGTAATTACAACACCTGTTATTTGAGGAGTGTATGCCTATTTATGCAACGAAAGCCATAACTAAAAACAAGAATACAAAATGGATCTTATTTACACTCTCGTCGATGGTGAAGTTATCCATTTTGAATTATTAAGTTTTCTGTATGTACTCTTGCTTCTTTTAGTGGCATATTCACACTTTAAATGTTTAGCTTATAGCTTATGTTTGAACAGTGGAAATATGTTCTCTGCTACTCAATAATCGATTGGGTCAAAACAAGTACATGTAATGAAATATGTCTGAACCATCTTCACTAACACCTGAAGATTTTGCAAAATCTGGCCACCTGTCTTTAGCAAATATATAATAAAATACCGAGTATCGTTAAAGTTATCTTAAATTTTAAGTTTTGTTTAAATTCTTATAAATTTTACTCTTATTTCAGTTAATATCAAAAGTTTAATTGAATTATCTTTGTCTATTTGTTCATGTGACATCTGTTTTCTTTCATGCATTCCTTATTGTGTTCTTTATTTTTATCAAACCAACTGGGGAGTTGGGGAAGGGGCGTATGGTTGAGAGGCATGAAGTCCTAGCCTTTACCAATCACTGCCATTTGACTAGTGACGGGCGTGGGTTCGAGTCTCTGACTCGTCCAATGTATGTATGTGAAAAAGACTGCCACTAGCTTTCCCTTCTGAATGAAAATGTCAAATGGGCAAAGACATTTATATTTGTAAAAGTTAGCCAAAGGTAAAAGGCATGTCTTTTCCTTAGGAGAGTGTACAAGAAATAAAAATAGAAAAACTTTAAACTGCTGAGTGCAGAAGCAGACCTTCATCCTGAACAGAGCTAAACTTTTTCTGTCAACTTTTATCTACTGCAAGTATAATCTGTCCTTTGCATGTATTTAAATGGCAGATCTTGTATCGCTATTTAAACGAGTGATGAAACAACATCATCAGTTACATTCATTCATTAAGCATTCCACATTTAATATAACAAATTATATAATAGTGATAAAATTATTAACACCTATTGTCTTTACTTACGTTATTCCTCTACACCCTTAATTAATTCTTACCAATTACCCCTTCCAATTACTTACTTCCTTACTAAATACTACTCTCTCTTTTCCACTACCAAACTCCAAACAAACCTAATCACTAGACCTTAAATGACCCTTTCATCGGACACAGTCAGGTATATTTAAATCATAACGTGATTCATACATACATAAGACCTCCATCATAACCAATACCTAAACTAAATCACTGTAATTCGGGAGGGTGGTGGTGGTCCGAAGCGCACTATTTCACGCTGCCGTTGTTGATCAGTGACAGGTCTTGCTCTAGAGGGCGCCACTACTGTATCAGAATAAGGCACAACTAAAAAAATACACTTCAAACTTGACCACTACAATGACTGGATGCTGGAAATCGAACACTGCAGAGATGATGGAAACAAATACAATGCAGAATTCGACGGAGACAGAGATGGAAACAGTTACAAGTTGTATACAAAATACATCAGCTGGATTTGGTAGATGGATACAGACATGTCTGTTATTTGAGATTTTGCTTTGTGTTAGTACAAGACTTGTAGGTAGTGTTACCAAGCCAGTAAGGAAGTACTTTATACAATAAAGGTTTGAAACCTAACGACATATAAACATGTGCCATCAGTAATTTCAAAACCCACAAAAACAATAAGCCCAGAGACCAGTATTAGTTAAATCAACAACCATGGGCTTATTTTGATCACCAACAAATACAACAGATACTAAAGATAAATATAATAAAGTAAAGTCCCCACCAACCTCGCTGAAGGGGATCCCAGAAATACGATTGCTTTAAAAAAGCTAACTTTATTTACAGGAAATGATGAAATTGAAAGAGATATTCCGATCAACGATCTTTCGAATAATAACCTCATATACCGTGACGTTTCAAGCACATTGCACGACAGACTTCGTTCGAAGAAACCTGTTTTAAGAATATTACTGGATAACATAAGCAGTAAACTATTAATTTCATTGCAACAAATGTTTTGATTTGGAGTATTGCAAATAGTCCGATGAATTAAAGCGCAAATATATTTTACTAGCTGAACACCATAAATAAAACGAGAGCAACAAATAAATGCTGATGGATTTGACTCTTCAAAATACGCCAGTCGAAACTGGCTAGAATTCGACTGCCAGACATCTATTCAGGTATCGACTGCATCTAGTAAATTTTGTGGATTTCCAAAACCTGATATTTTCATATCTATTTTACGAAAGTTCATAAATAACACAAAATTACTCGAATGATTACTCTTCGTGTTGAGCAGAATGTTAGTTTTACTTTCTTTCATATAGTGTCAATGGCCACGAAATTCTATTACAGATGGGCTATTAACAGATTTGAGTTTCGACATGAAAGATGAAGATGGAAAAGTAAGCAAGGGCGTACTCACATATGGGCTGATGTTGAGGAAGCAATCGCCTCCTCCCCTCGCCGGATTTCACCCTCTGAACATATTTTGTCTACATCCGTAAAACTTAAAGCTGAACTACAGGCCCCTGCCCACGAAAATAATTCTTCGGGCGCACATGGCGAGTAAGAGATTTTCTCCCCACTGGGTGCATGCAATATATTTCTGTTCTTTATAAAGTAAATGGCATAGAGGCCAGCGTGAATTTGGTTAAACACTGAGACAAAAGCAGAGGAAAAATATGTCACATTATGCCAAAACTTTAACCGTAAGTTAATCTTTAATAAGTATCGTGTTACTAAATGTAACAAAGCTTGTAAAATAAAACAAGAAAAAAAAATATCGACAAACCATATATTATTTGATTACATAAACGGGTTGATACTCAAATACGTAAGATATTAAAAGGCAACGATTGAAAGGCTATTTTGACATGGGTGGGAAAAAGTTCACAAATCTTTTTCAGTTGATGAATATAGTTGTACCGAAAATGCTAAAAAAATGTATATCTACAAAAGCAGACTGACCAGAATAGGTAAATGATTTCAAATGTTCATTTTTTGTTTCCACAACGATTCAAAATATTCATATTTTCCTCTGCATAAATTTAAATAAAACAGTAAGAACAAGGATAGATGTGCTAATCAACATTATTTACAGCCAGTCGAGCAGGAGATACACT